TCCGAGTGGCTTGATGAGTCAGCCGAAGTAACATATGACGTCGCGGAAGACGTCATTAGCGAGTTTCGTTACTCCTAACGCTGTCTTCCATTGCTGCGTTCATGAGTTTACGACGGTTTTTAAGTCAGTTTACTCCTGATGAAGTTGCCGGATAAAATGAATATGCCGTTTTCTATAGTGTTTAAAGAAAGGAACCACTCCGCATGTTCATATAATAGCAGAACCAGAATCACAGGAAACAATCTTAAGATGTTACTTTTCACACGCAACCGATCCTACACTACCTACTTTGGTAGCAACTAGATACCTTTCGCTGCCAATGCATATATTGATTTAAGTCATTTCCACGCACCAGTCTTCTCATTTGGTGCAGTTGGCTTCTTTAGAAAAAAACCGGCTGCGAAAAGGTTTTGTGAATCCTGTGGTGCAGCAGTCAGACAGTGACCAATTGATTCTGCTATGATTGTAGGAAAACGTCCTAAAGACAGGTGGGATTCAACCTACAGGGGAGTGAACTACTTAAACATATATAGGTTTCCAGAGGAACAAGTGTTGCTCATCGAAAGGGGTGTGAACAAATGTGCCTGAAACTTCATGACGTTCATCTGCGAACTTGGGGCGAAGCAGAAAAATTGATCCTTACGTAACAGGATGTGGGTGGTGGCAGCTGTTGAAGACATTGGCAGTCTAGATTATGCAACTGGATGTACGAATTGACGTCGAACGATCATAACTTACTCAGGTCCTGGACTCAGAATGGATGGACTCCCTCGGAAAGATGGCATGTTGCAGTTGCAAATCCTGGACATTTATGTTCCCACAACGTCTTTTGTTGGGTGGCGCGAGTGCAAAGGGAAAAGATTGAAGGACGGCTCTAGCTGAAGGGCGGCATCAAATTGTTCAGTGGCAGGTGGTCACAGTTTCAGTGGAAGTAATATCCAGAGGTCAGCAGATGAGCCACAAAACCGCCAGATGAAAGATCTATTGTTCGAGCCCAGCTTTTTTGATGAGCCTGTGTTTCTCTGCGGCCTACTTATTTTCCTGTTCTCCGATTCTGGTATGAAGTTCTCTGATCGTCCATCCTATGGTCTTAGTGTGGTCGTTACACTCGACTTTAAACATAATCCCTGGGTTGTTCACTGGGAGGCGATCCTTTAATTTCATCAGTGCAGATTGCTCCCCATTTGGAAAGCTTCTCTTATGTTAGCCGTGTTTAGATTCCTTCGGATGATCTTCAATGTCCCTTGTTTATACGGAATAACACCAGTCCCAATCCATTCCCTGTTTGGTTTCGCTACCGATACCAACACCATTCGCAATTGACGCCTAATCAAAATAGCAGGATATCCACTGCCCCGAAGTTTGCCCTTCGCTTTAATTTGGACAGCTGTCCGATCAACTGTACATAGGGCCCTTACACGCGTAAGCATTGATGAAGCAGTACTGGCGAACACCGACTTGGGATGGGCAGACAAGTAGTTCAAAACTACCCCAGTGTCGGATGGCTTCACGTACACTGTGTTCTTTAGTTTCCTCCCACCTCGAGGTTGACTCTACCTCCATACTAAATTTGATGTGTGGATTCGGTTAATTCATAGTCATAAAGCTCACTAATCTCGTCCCGTTTCATCACGGCGAAGGTGTCACCTACATAACTCCAGAATATCGTGGGTGGGTATGGGAATCCTGTTAAAACTTTCTGTTCAAAATCCTCGGTAAATATCGCCAAAAACGGGGGTACTGGAGATCCAATTGCTAGACCTTGTTCTTGAGTGTAAACCACGGAGTCAAAAACGAAGTGGCTGAGATTCAGACATGCTTCTATGCCTCTTACTATTCCATCTACCATAAGCCGTGTCCGTTCTGAAAGGGTGATGTCTGGTAGTAGCAGTCGCTTAGCTATTTGCAGAGTCCCTTTTTGGCACATTCGTGTATAACAAATTGATATCGAGACTTACATGTCGTCTGCTTCCAGGGTAACGTCCGCTACTTTGTTGGCAAAGTCATAAGAACTCTTAACCTAAGTACTAGAGTTCCCGGTGAGGGGTTTTAAAATACCTGGCTTTGCATTCCAACGCGGGATTTTTCTGGTTTTGCTGCTGTTTGTGTTATCAAACCCAATTCGATAATCAAATGATAATCCCTCAGATGTAACACCCTTTTGGCGCCTAGCTGCCATACCACCCGAAGGAAGCATGAGGACTGAGGTACTGCCAGATTGCCCAAGTGTAGACAGGGCCGGTCGAGAAGCAGAGGTTTGGTTTGAACCACGGATCTTCCGGTCAGTAAATCCGCGCTCTAACCGCTGATCTGTTTCGTCCCTTCGAACGCAGTTAGCAGCTCTTCCGTCACTTTACAGCGTAAAATGGTTCCTGAACATCGATACTTTCACTCTATCCAGCACGACTGGCTTTCTGTTCAGATTTGGTCCTGTTTATTTTCTTGGTATCATGTTTTGTTTTCGAGACGTCCTGTTAAGTGTCAGTGGCTTTCGGTCGACACTAACAGAACCAGTATTTTTCGTTGCCGCCTTATCTTGCCACAGATCATCGAACGATTTTATAACATGAGGATCTGCGGTTTCTCACGATAAAATTGCTTTTGATAGTGCTGACCTTTTTGCACCATGTTCGCTGGACTCAGTTTTGGAATTGATTTTGACCATTCAGACTTTGTTGAGAGTTTAGCCTGATACTTATACAGCTCCCGAAGACGTTTATGGCGTTCTGCCGTGATTTTTCTTGTCTACCTTGCTGATGGAGATATTATCTTCCATGAACGTCTATTTGAAATTCGCACTACTCCAAATCCAGTGTAAAAAGCCGCTAGGGCTGTCTTGCGCCCCCTCCCCTCAATCCCATCAACCTTTGGTGGAAGGAGCTCTTGAAAGAATGCTTTTGTCTATGTCAAAGTAAGAAGCCCAACATTCGGACGTGTTTGTTTGTGATCGATGACCAAGTGCCGCCTCTGGCTTTCGTTCGACGTCACTCAAAAGTGGGGGTTTCTAGGTTCGGCGACTTAAGCGAGGGACATCTTCTGGACCTGGGACCAAATGGGTGACCTATTCCAAAACTAGTTTAGTTGGGGATCTGAAGTTGTCTACTAGTATTCTATTCTCGGGTTGACGGTGTGGTTCTGCTCCGGCTTCCAGTAGATCATGCAAAAGAAGCGATTCTCTTCTTATCAGAAATGGAACTTTATATCGATAATGAGCCTCGAACTGTTGTGCTCTGGAAGGACATCAGCAGACGAATCAGACCTTCGGGTAATTTTTTATGTGCATCCTTAGGGCTCAAGTTTACATGTCAGTAGCCATGTTTAGGGCTAGTCACTCATATATATTGCGATTATAATCCTGTTGGGTGGTGAAGCATCTTTCCGAGAACGTCGCATGATAACCGTTGAGACGTACCTTTGCTCTTCTTGATAGCACAGCGCTCAAGGAACTCGAAATCGCCATTTATGGGCAGCATTGACGATCGATAGGATAGCGTTTTGAGTTGTGATGAGAGGTTTAGGAAGACTGTCATACCTGTCACAGACCATCGGTTTAGCTGCGTCTGTCGCCTTGTGCATCTTGTTTTGCGCAGTTTGTCACCGGTGGTGATAAAAGCCATTGTCTTGACGTAAAATATTTCTGGGGGGGGGCAGTTGTTAACCCTACAGTACTATGTGGGGCCTTGTGGTTACCGGAAGGTCCGTGGTTGGAAACCAATCTCGGCTGCCCCCATCTAGGCTTGGGCAACCGGACAGGATCTCAGCCCTCGAGCTTCTCCCGGGTGGCACGGCTGCTAGGCACCGAAAGGGTGTTAACGCTGAGTGATTATTTTTTCCTTCTTACCTCTACCTTAAAAGTCATAAATTGCTGTAGTGAGTTTAGTGTAGTGGACGTCTGTTTGTGCGCCGTAAAATCACTCCTTTGGCAAGCAGCTGCAGTTGCTTTAAAAATGGTAAGATTGCAAAACTGGTCCTTATTTGGAACAAAGTTGCCTCCGTTCAAGTGTGCGTCTGTTGCAGCCAGCAAGCTAACGGAGAGATTATGAAGAATATGATAGCTACCATGTTCGTCAGTTTTATAAGCTGACGCCTGTCGTTGATCCTGATCGGTGGAGTTCCCTCCGAACGTCACTAACCTTGTAAAAAAGGCATCTATCCTCATGCTGTTATGCATGCAGAGACAGTGTTACTCAGCGTCCAATGTGAACGACTACTGAAGCTACACATGTGGTTGGGTTGTTAAGTTAGGGCTAAAACTTGGCAAACTGATATCTTGCCTCCGGATTGCCTTGGAGCTGTGTCGAAAAACGATATTGATTCGCTTGAGTTTATGCACTAGTCCGTCGTCGAAAGGCAGTTAATCAATAGGGATTCTACGATGCAGGCGGTCTGCTGACCTGCAATTTATGTGGCCTCATCAGTTTAACTTGCTCTTATAAACTGCGGGGATTGTTTTGGAAATACACGAGGTATCTCATCACTAGCTACTCAGTATTCCAGACCCTATTAGTTAAGTACTGCACCCCTCGCCTTGTTCTACACGCACACGACCTCTCGCGTAGTCCACTATCATTCACTCACCGAGCCTTAATTTTATGTGAGACGTTATGTTCACTTCAAAAGAAATGCTTTGTGGTGAGGTTCATCGCCGCTGTCATTGAGGATGCTTGTATCATTCAGTTGCCCCTGGCGTGTAAGATTGGGAACTATATGCTTGCTGTGAAACTGTTTCCAATCCCCTTCCACACATTTTCCGTATGGATTAAGTGTACTGGAGCCTGATTTTTTCATCAGTCATATGATTTCATGCGTACGTAACTGCTTTGCACCCGAATGAATTTATATGGCTCTTTATTTTCATGTTTGACGGTGTATGGCGATTTCGTGTTCGTTCTGTTGACATGGTTTGTCTCAGAGTCTCGTGGCTGAATCGTGTCCTTTGCCACTTTGCTATCTTCGTTTCTCTCGCACGCTCATAGCTTATCGCTTTGTTCCCGTTTCAGAAATCAAAAGTTGTACTTGCCCCATGAGAGAAAAAGGTGAGTAGCTATCTATTTCATCTCCCTTCTAAGTGGGGTCTATAGGCTAGATGCGCGGCTGTTAACTTCCGTAGGACTTGTTCTTTCCGAAGAACTCGAAACGGCTCGGAGATCGGGCGGTCTCCGGTTCGGACCCGATGTTGGGTTTTTATGCTTCCCTTTTGGAGCTTGGGGCAATCCCAGCAATAACCCACTCTATGTGCAAACTTCGGGTTGGATGTTAGCTGCATAGGTACCGGAAGATGACGTATCATTCGTTCACTAAAAAGTTTCAACTGGAAAATGCACCTTGTGTAACATCTCTCTAGTCCATCTGTTGTTTGGCTCCATAAATGCGTTAAATCAGTATTTATGTTCCAACGCAGTGACAAGTCTTGGCAAATTGGAGAAATTCTGAGCAATTCATGATGGTTTTTTACTTGCTAGCTGCGAGAGGAGTACGATGCGACTGACTAGTTCGTTTCTAAAACTAGACTTTGTCGTTGCAAGCTGATAGCCATAGGCGGTACATCGAACAAATAAGTATCAGCATTCACTGTATACGCTCTCTGCAGCGGGAAATGCAGATTGTGGGAGGTGAGGATGCGATGCGTTACTAATAGGAGCCAACCTACCAGGCCAACCTGTAGGGTGGTAGATTTGCCTCAGCCACAGCTGCTCCTCTCTGAGCATAATGTAATAAGAGCAATCGTTTTGGAGTTGAGTATTCAAATGCTCCTTCATATTACTTTATTGTGTAGTTAGTATACCTGAAGGAGGCTGTCGGATATCCTGGGCTCGAGATAAGTGAGTGGTTAAGTTGTGATCCTACTGATTGGAAGGTCCGTGTTCGAAACCAACCTCGGCGCATCAATTGCTCCCATATTGGCTTGGCGATCTGACGGTATCTCACCCCTCGTGTTTCTCTCGGGTGGCATGGAATCGAGGTACCAAAAGGGAGCTGGACGGTGTCGTATATCGTTGTTGTGACCATTTTTAGGTTCCATGTTCATCTTTTCGAACTTTTACATTTACGGGGTTTTCTAATGAGGACTTGGACTAATGGTAGTAACATTTTTGTGACGTGGTGTCTACGGATTCTGTTCCCAAAAAACTAGGTAAGCAGAGCATCTCGCATAAAATCCTATCAAAAAGTGCATTGCTGGCACTCACGTTGAAACTCCAGTTTGGTTATCACTTGCATCTTGTACCTTGTGATCTTTAATACAAGCTTGCGGATGTATTCATGAATAAAGTTGAACGCGAACCGTGTACGTTCGGTGTGGATGACAAGGTTTTGTTTGTTTTGCCGTGTTCCACTTTATCTCTTTTTCGGACCGTTTCGTGTTATGAGCACTCTTTAGATTAAAGTATATTCATTTTAGCACCGATTTTTTCTGGTACCGTTCTCTAGTCCGTTCCTTGATCTACTGGCAAGATCCGATCCATTCGGCTGCGGTGCTCGCCGTTCTTTTGGCCGCTCAGTTTGGTTTCTTGTACCTTTCGGCGATTTCATTCGTTGCCTACACTGGATTTTTCCTCCTTCTTTCCATCAATCTATGTCGGTTATACTATCACTACATCGCTAAAACCGAGAGCCAATTTATCAAGTGAGTCATGTCAGTCTTATTTTTGCTTTTGTATGCATAAGTGTGTAGTTACCAAGTTGTATCTTGTGACGCTCCAAATTGGTTGCTTGCCCACATAGTTTCCGATGTCTTCACTGCCATACACTGGCCAACTTTCTGCGAGCTGAAGTTGTGTGCATGCACTGTTATTTATGGAGTGTGGTGATCGCAGCTAAGTTCCCTTGGCTAAGATCAAGCGCTAGAGCATCCGTATTTCGAATGGATGCCGACGAGTATCACAAAAATTCTTCTTGATAGATGGGCTGGCAAACGTAAGTGGGCACACTTGTGTGACTTGCTCTCCCACTTGGGCGTATTTGACCATTATCCATATTTTTTTCGCCATTGTCTCACCCAATTTCGACACGACGCAATGACTTGGTTGGTTTCAGTGCATTGTCGGTCAGTCAGATATCCCTGTGACAGCGACATACCACCGCCACTCCGTCACATTCGACCCACATTGTGAGGATGTCTGTACTGATGGTTTTCGAGACAAGTGAGGTTAGCTTCCACACGGATGGAAGCCGGAAGGCGCAATATGAGAGCTTGTTTACGCCATACAGTTCGGAAACGGGCTAGAATTAAGAAACCGACACGGCCGCTGGCTAGTTTTTGTGAAAAAGTGTCAACGAATCTACCGCATGCCTGATGTGTACAGCCGATGTAGACCGCTGAGTTACTCACCATAACCTGTGAACGTTGAAAGTTCTAGGAGTGGTTCGAGCCTACGTAGACATGTTTGAATGAGTGGCCGTTGTGGACTAATTCTGCGAGAGGTTGGATTGAAGTGATTGCGTGAGATTGGATAAAATTAGTGTAGCTAGATATTGACGTAACTTAAAATTACGCTTTTTTAGATACTGACAGTAGATAGGAGATAAGTCTAACGAAAATTTGCGGGAGGAAATGGAGGAGTATCAGGAACTGGATTCCAAAGTTGCCAAGTTTGACTTTAGTTCAGTTCCGTTTTGCTACCGTTGGCCGTTGGCAAGTTTTTGTTCGTTTTGATTGGCGGGGCTTTCAGAGGTAGAGCTTTGCTCGTTGTTATCTCCTGTTCTTCTGCGTTAAGGGGAATCCCGCACCAATGGCACTTTACCGCTCACAGTTAGGCGCTCCTACGGGCAAGAAGCCTATCCCGCACGCGGTTGGCCAGAAGGTTAGGTCACTTGCTGGTCTAGCATCAAGGCGAGCTCTGATTGGCCGAAAGCCTGGACCCAACAGCCAGTCTTCCTGTGTCTGCCGAAAGCCGGTTGCTTATGTAGAATCCAGGTGTCAGAATTTCCAGCATATGGTCGCCGCATAAATCTTACAAATATGCGCTGCACATGTGTTTTGACCTGGTTTTGGGCATTGATATGTGTGACCTTTAGCGGCTGTTCTGACTGGAACGGTAGCTTGGGAGGTTCACACCGGGAACTAAGCTGAGTAATATACCGTTATTACATCTATCCACTCAGTCGTGTCCATAGGGACGAACTCCTTCCCGATGCTTAAGTTTCGCATTGAACCCTGATGTGTGAATTAGCGAATCGAGTGTGCCAAAGTACACTGTGTGACGTGTCCATCTTGCATTTTCTGACCGGAGCAACTAGTACAGGATGGAGTTCATCTTCCTTCGTTGACGGACACTAATAATAAATAATAAACCCTGAATGCACATCGTGAAACGTCATAATATCAGTCTATAATCTCCACAAAGGAGAGTCGGGTACTAACCGTTCAGTGAACGAACTGAAGCACCGCGATGTTCCATTATCAAAAGACGCCAGCGATTGGTGGTAAAATGCTTACAGTTTAATTGCCTAGCTCAGCGGACACCAGCGATTCTGTGCTATCGTAGCTAATAATGTTATCACTACTAACTTCACTCCATGTATTGCTATTCTGGGGCATCCACTGCTTCCATCTGTAAGCAAGCTAACCTCACCTGTCTCGAACACCTTGAGTACAAACATGAGCGGAACATCTGTACCATGTGAATCGAATGTGATGGGGATGGAGGTTATCTGTTGCCTTTCTAGATGCAGCTGACTAATTGAAGTGCATTGAAGTCAGCCAATTCACTGCGTCTTGGCGAAATCCAATTGAGCAGTGATGAATATTCGAGGGAAATGGACTAATTATCCCAGCAACTCTGGGTTGCAAACTTCTGTACGCTCTGGGTAGATCCCTTTGCGTGCCTGTTATGAGGAGTATGCCATCATATTCATGTGTTTACCGTTAATTAGCTTTTCCTCGTGTGATGTTTCCGTTAATCAGTGGCCGTTCTAGGAGATGGTAAACTCCCCAGCTGCTTTCTCGGGTAATCAAGAAAGTGAATCTCTTAACAACTTACTGTGGACGTTGGCATACTTGGCAACGTCGCTCCCCAACTTTCACACTATATCTTTTGGTTTTCGAATCGACTCCATCGGGCACCATAACAGAGTAAACTATCTATTGTCCGAGGAATTTCATGCCAACGATGACTGTGTCAAAACACAACACAGGTCAGCTGGCGCTGCGCGTTGGTTTGAGCTTGAGATAGCTCGGTGCTTATGGCGCGGATTTACTGACTGGAAGGTCCGCGGATGGAGCCCAGTGTCGCTAACTCGACTACACCTGTCTAGGCTTGGGCAACGTGAAGGTACATCAGCCCTCGTGTTTCCTTCGGGCGGCATGGCAGCTGGACGACTGTTATTTACATGTTACACGTAAATTTTGGAACGCCTATTCCTGCCTATCGTTGTTTAACTTGTGCTTGAACTGATACTGTTGCATCGGCGTGTGAGCCTACTGGTTTCAAGTAGCGTTACTCAGCCGATCGAAAAGTAACCCTTTGTTGGAGTAGTGCACCAACTCCCACTCTAGCATGCTTGAATAATGCGCTGCACTTGAAATAGGCTTTTGTGACGAACATCCGAAACACTACAAGCTTAGGACTAAAGTTCTTTTGCCATCTCCATTTCTGACGCAACGTGTTTGATTTTTTGTGAGGACGGGGTTCAGTGGCCTGTTCTGAGGCGTTCGTATGGGGTTCGAACCTGGGTCGTCGAAATGGTAGTTGACGGTCCTCTGCATCCGGCCAACCCGGATTGCATTTATAACAAGCAGAGTGATTCGTTCAGCTGCACAATTCAAAGTCTTGCCATTGATCATGAAACTTATAGAACTAGTTAGCTGAGAGGGTAGTTCAACAAATTAACTGGAAAATCTGAAACCTTGCCGCGCGAATTTACACGGGTCCTATGACGAGACACTGAGTTAATTTGCTCTCACTTACCGACTGGAAACAACTTTAATTCAGTAACTCGAGGATATTCTAAGTGTTTGGTTGTACTCACCAGAAGCCAATCATGGCTTGCTGCCTATGAGAAGGTCTGGGTACCCCTTTCACTTTGCTCTGTTACTTGCGATACCCAAGTAAAAGCACTTGTTCTTTGATCGACTCATTACTTAGTTTGCCTTCGGTGTGGGTAATGGACTGCTCTCATGGTTTGAGAGTTACAGTGGCAGTTGAATAGGGTGTCATTCTTGTCTGTAAGTACTATTATTTGATCATAAAATAAGCTGGCTGCAACTTTATTGTATGAGTGTAGCCTCTCTACCACGAATTGAAGATGTTGAGTATCAAAACTGTTCTCTTCTGAGAGGGACTCTAAAATGATCACGTGTTCCAAACGACCAAACACCATTGGTTTTTCTGTCGTTGTTGGCTTATAAAAATGGTTTATTCCGAACAGGACGGCACCTCTGACGTTATAGTCCGACCTTCCAGATTGAGCATTTGGCCTTCTCCCTTCTATGTCCCAGAGAGGCTAATGGCACCACCACAGACAATCGGGGTACTCGGTCTCCCACAGGACCTTGCCGATCTTTAAGAGAGGGTGTTCGGACACCAGGTTATGACTTACGAGGAATGCTCTTTTGAACTCTCAGGATGTGTGGTATGTGGTTGTGATTTTCGGGAACCACCCGGATCTCATACGAGCATCCATAACCTGGTCAGGTAGGCTGAATGGACCAACGGAGCAGTGTACATGTCAGTACAGTTTGTGCTCCAACAGTGTAACTGCAAGGTTTATTGTTATTACGCCTCTCCGTTTTTGAGTGCCTAGACAAGCGAGACACAGGTTGCTTTTCCTCTCCTCCGGAACTCCTCTTCAGTCACGTATAAAGTACGTGGAAAAAGCTCCATCACGGGGACCTTAGAAAAAGGAAATTCATGTTTCCTTGGGACCAGTTTCACAAATACTTGCTTAGAAAAACTGTCGCTAGATAAGCAATATTTATTCAGGCCAAGTTGTAAATGCCGCATTCCACCCTGTCATTTACGCGTGCCAGTTGGCTCCGAACCCGTAATCTTTGATCAGGTGAAATTCCCTTCCCCTCCAATTTTTCGACGAAGTAGTTGGACTACGTTAACTTTTACTAATTAGTTTTCGTGCACTCAGCGTGAAACCCCCGCTTGTTTGTGAACTACTTCACACAGTGGACTGCTACCCTGACGAGAAACTGCACTGCTTCTAAAAACTTCATGTTTCACTTTATTTTGATTTATTATTTTGCATACAGCCATGTGAATAGCACCTATTCAGTTTGAGCTATCCGGTCTAACTTTTCCAGAGAATACCTAGAACGTGATGTCAGTCTCCCTAAGGATCAGATGGCAGATGTGGCTCGCCGACTTACGGACCACGCAAACGAAGTCATTGTGCAGGCACGAGATGTGTTCCTATTGACGAATATTGGCGCATCCGTGAAAGTAAGTTGATTTAGTTTATATCGTTCTATGTTTACCGAATGTTTTTTGTCGAGACTTATTGTCCAAACGGCAGCATCAAAACCCTGCAAGTTCCTTTTTCGGCTCTTCCAATTTTTTTGTGTGCTTTGTAGGTTCGCACTTCTTAAACACCCGCCACCACCGCTTTGAACATGATTTGTCACTGCCGGAGTTTTGAGTGTGCAACTTCTATGACGAGGTCTTTAGATAGCTAACTGGCGCATCAGAACCCACAGTCGTTTGAGATGGCTTATGGTCGACTAGCACAAAACCGACCACCTTTTGTTCGGTAAATCAATGAAATCTATACAAGATCTTGTTGGAATTTTCGTTCCCGAGTGAGAAGCGGTGACCTTATTGGTCGTTACTCGCACCAGTCAGAGCACACCCGCGTTGCCGTGCTGCTCACTCCTTTTGATGCGTAGTTAGTGACCCGCTTCTTCACGAATATCCATCCCTAGCCTGCCTCATCAGTTATGGGAAAAAGTCGGATGCTTCTGATTTGCATAGCGGTTTGGGAAAAATAGGCCAGTAATCCTGGCATGCTCAGACGAACCTGTTCACCTGTCATGTATGTGATTCCCCCAACAAGCCTTCAGAGTAAACACCGTGGTGATATATCGTTCTCTGTTCTTTGGTAGTATGTACCAAAATAGAAAATAAAATTATTCATTCATATCCGAGGTCAGATGCGGACTGTGTATCCTGGGCAGCAGTCTTATCCCGACATTATATGTCTGTTTTTTTTTTGGATTAGGTCTGATTCTTGTAAGCGATGACACTTGCTTGCTTCTCGAGACCTAACTTATTGCCTTCCCACGCCTTGAGGTAATGCAGTCAAGCCATATGTTTCCTGAGGTCGGGAACAACCACCTATCGATACGAGGAATAACAATTCTCCACTCGGTCAGTCAGCTTGTGTGTTTGTTTGTCATCGAACCTAACGCAAATATTACTCAGTCAGAGCGCCAACTAGTCTAAACTGTAGGAGGCAATATTCTTTGCGTACTTTCTTGGAAGATCAATAAGTGCATTTCCCGTACCTCAGCGCTTTTCCTCGTACTATATAATCAGAGACATTATGGGGTATTCTACAGAGTCGGTTTTCACTATCATGCGACTTAACGCAAACCAGTGGTCGGGGAGGAGGTTGGTACGTTTATTGCCCGTTTATTGGACAACAAGTAGGTCTGTGTCAAACAGTGGATGGATCAGTAGGATCTTTTTTTTTAACAAGTTAGCATAAATATATAAGCATTTAATTGTATAAACATAAACTGTGGCTATTCGGGGACGTAGTGGAAAGTTCTTGGAACAAACGAGACGGCATACAGCGAAGAACCCGAAGTGCCGCCAGACTGACGGAAAACAACTGAACAGCTGCTGGTGAATGTAAACATACCCAATACTCAGAAAAGACCTCAGAGAAGGAACCAACAGGTACATTTATCGTTATTGGGTGTTATTGATATATATTCACGAAGCCTCTGTAGAACAGCCACGTTCTTCGGATAGCTGTTCATTATTGGAAGGATATACAATACTTAGCTCAGTGGCTTAAAACGGCGGTTAACTGTCATACTGGTGCGCTTGCGTTGTGGTCGTTGCGGTAATATGCACACTTCGATCCGCCCGTTATGTTGCCAACAACATAACGTAATTTGCACTCCTTCGGTGACTTGTATTCAGCGTGATTCCACCTTTTCATCTTACGAAGTTACTGGCTCCCACAACTGATCTACTGCCAATCATTCGTTCGAAAAGTGGTACAGGAACGGAACAGTCTGTTCTTGAGTGAGGCCACGGTTCAGATGTTGATCCCAAACGTAGCTCCATTGAAGCCTACTTCATACCGAGAGCCCAACTCAGTAGTTCGCTTGATGAACGTCCTAACGGGGTTAGGCCAACTTGAACTATGAAAGATCTTACAGCCGTAGCACCCTTTCGATGCCTAATTCCATGCCACCAGAAGGAAACACGAGGACTGGGCCACTGCCAGGTTGCTCAAGCCTAGACAAGATTAAACTAGAAAAAAATCTTGAAGCGGTTCTGACCTCAACGTTTTTGCCCTATGTGATGTTAAGAAGTGTAAATTTTTCCGGGTTTCATTCACCGTTTCAAACCCTGAGGTGTTTTGCGTGTCGAGTTCTTTGGTTGGGTTGGTCTACCGTCATTTGTTTTCTCTCTTACTTTTAACCCCCGGCGCGTTTGTTCAATTACACTCCGCATATCCCAGTTCGGGGTCCTGCTTTATTTGATGACCTACGTTGGTGCGCGATTCAACCTGCTGACTTTGTGCATCACGGGTGAGTTTTCTCAACGTATTTTCCGTTTGATGGTTCTCTTGGGAAAACTATTGGTCGACTGTAGAACTTATCGTTGTTTCCTAGTTAACTTCATTTCTATCCCAATGAATGATTTCCGCTTATTTTCATTCACAACTTACGGAACCCTGTGCATCCAGTAGCTGGTTTTGTGTTCCGAAACCGGAACAAGCGTCCAACCTGAAAAAAGCGGCGAGCTTTGCTTTGCCTTTTTCTAGCACTTTAGTTTGTCCTCTCTTTCTCACAACAACATTATCTCCTTTCCAGTACCCTGTTTTAACCACTGAGTGTTTGGACGTAATTTGCGGATAGTGTGGGCTTGTTTATGTGCATTCACGATGTCGTCAAGCAATGCGCTGGTTTCTTCACTCCGTGATATATTTCTCTGGGCCTTGTTTACCGTTTGCGTCACCGCTCTCTCCCTTGTTGCACCAATCGATCTGTTCAGCGTTTACCTCCGACCGCGCATCGCTATGTCACACACAATTGCCGGAATCGGGTTAACATCAGTCATCCCGACTGCTAGTTTTACTGGTATACTTGGTTTGTTGTTAGTCGTGTGTGCCAACCAACCCGCTTCCTTAAAATGCTTTTCTGTGTGCGTGATCTCCAGAGCGCACAAAAACAGGAGTACCATCTCTTGTGAAATTTTTTTCCAGTTGGAGTCTACTTCTGACTAGTCGATTACTGCTTGGTTGACCTGGGAGTAGTTCAGTCGTAGTACATGCTATGGCATAGAGAACAAGCACGCGGCAGCGGATCATGATGGCTCGATTTTCTGTGTCAGTGCAGCATTTTTTTGGGGTTATTGCCGATTTCCGCGGAGTCTTTTTTCAAGCAGCGACAAAATTTGTGGAAACAGATAGCCTCATCAGTGATTGATTCTCCCCATTATCAAATGGCACTGGTCTTCGTCAATTTTGTTCTATTTCGTTGGTCCAACCACTTCCAGAAATCGGTACTACAAAGGAACAGTCCGTAATCAGCAGGCTTCCGCAACAAGCTTTGTTCACGTGTCTTGTGTCCTATCCAATAGGAGTATCCTAAGTCCATCTATCTGCGTGCTTGTCACCGGCAGGCACAATTATATCTGATATTTCATTCCACTACGAAGAGCACCTAGTACGTCCCAGTAACTTTCCGACACATTCAGAGCTGCAGTTTTGGAGCCTATGTAAATATAATAATTAGGAGACAATAGGCCTCGAGTTTTTCACGGACTAGCAAACGAACCGCGCGGAGTCTACCATCTCTCAGCATCCAATCAACTAATGTTCGACTCGATCTCTGAGCGCAGTACCCACCCTTGCATACCCAGTTGCAATGGCCTCTGTCGCCACTGGTGGGTAGGGAGAAGTTCATGCGTCCTGGATTCGTATTTGCGACAGACACTACACATTCATGTAGAGAAAAACCGACATCCATGCAAGACCACCTTGTCCTTCTCGCTTCAGAGTGGACTGGCTTCCGGAGCTTGAAAATTGATTTTTAAGTATCCGTGGCTGTTAGTGCAGACGCACGCGCGGACGTTGTCGATAACGGTCATTCAAGGCGGACAAAGCTGTCATTCTTAGCATTAGGACCTGAAGAGAAAGGCTCTTGAAAATTTGGTAGGCTGTGGGAAAAGAAGGGATACGAAGGCGTGGGAAGGTAGGCCCTAGCACTGGCAGGTTTTCTCTTTCCCGTTGTATTCCGCAGGTAAAGCCACCCGGCCGATTTGGCACGAGAGCATTTTCGGTAGTGAATTTTGTGGGTGTACGCTAGATACGGTACTTTCATGGTGCCCATACCTAGAGAGGAGGACGAGCGACCCCCACCTCAGGCTTTTGGTTCAAAGGCCTAACCGCAAGGTAGCTTGTAGATGCCATCATACTATCTAATATTACAGTTTTTCAGGAACAAGTCGCCGTACATATTCTGACACCCACCGTGTTCATGGAGCTTGTATCCATTGGCCAACATGGTATGTGGAAGTCTTAGGGTCAAATTACACCCTCCCTTGGGCTCATAGAAGTGCACAAGCCGCAGCTAAACGCAAACAGTTGAATATCATCTCAGTAGTTTGTACACGCGTAACACCTGTCCAAGACATTTATGAAAGCGATTAATCTTGCTTCAAGAAGTAGTTTAAAGTAGTAGTATTATCGTCGGATGAGGTTCCTAGAGAGCGTGTATTAAATTTTCGTGGCACTGATAGGTATGGCTCAGCCACCCTTGGTGACGTCCACATATTCAGACTTTTTCCTGGTAACGTGTAACTACCAACCACCGTTTCCCATTCCGGAAGAAACTTGAAAATAAACCTACTCCGTGACAGCTGTTTTCGTCAGCTTTCCCTTAGAATCCACCATCTCTACATTTTATAAGCTAATTGACAGGGTGAGTTTAGTCGAAGTCTAACAAAGGAACTTCTCTACTCTGCCCAAGCTTTATAGAAAAACGGTTTGAAATTGAAGCGCCGTTTTCAAGCACTTTCCTTAGGGATAACGACCTGGTATCACTAAATGAAAATTTTTTACTGCAAGTCATCGACTGGATAGTTTCAAAATTTTCCGAGGCATGGCTAGTCAAGTCACATGGTGCTGTATCTTCAAAACGAGCTTTATACTCTCAGTTTTGTACCTTGATGTTTATGTCTCCTTAATGTAGTACTGCGTCGTGTGAGGTGAAATTGTGGTTCAGTGAGCCCATTGATCAAGGTTTCAACGTTTGTGCAATCAGCAAATAAACTAGACTCGAGTGAACTTTGGATAATGAAACGAAACTACATGTACGTGGCACATGCTAGTTTGCGGTAATCTATTAGGAGCGCGGATCATGGACAGAACGTCTCCACTGGCGGCTAGCAGCCATCCAGTTCCATGTCGCGAGATGGCATTTACGGTGCTGGCAGTCCAAAATATTCATAAGCAGATAGTGGCCAATATGCAGAGTCACTAAACGGTCGCTGTGGTCACCTGATATCGAGGCCATGGGATCCTGGATGTGCCTTTCATCTAACCTATTACGTGCATTCAAATCTGCAACAAGTACATTCGTATTGATGCCTGGCGTTCCCTTTATTAAGCCGTTGAGTTGATCGTAAAGATCATTGGCAGAATCAGGATTGAAATCATCCGATTTAACACAACAGTGTTTGGTTATCTATGAAGAGTCTTCAGTAGGAGTGATCAGATCATGAACCGGTAAAAATCCTCTAATTTCCCCCACTCGACCCATCAGTTTTTCATCACTTAATCACAACGCTAATCAGCAGTACCCTTTAACCGACTTTCACACTAGTTTAGTCTGCATTTCGGAAGGCCTCGCTTATCGATTCTCCATCTGCCTTCAAACTCGACGAACCTAGTAACTCGCTCGCTTGTTTTGACGGAGCTTTTTGTGTCAAAGCGTACGACAGTGAAGCATCAGTGTTGAACACTGATGTCATGCTGTCGATGATGATGATGATGATGTGTCAAAGCGAAACTTTGTCCAACCATAGGTCCATCTATTGTTTACTAAATTATTCTGAAACAGTAGTTTGTTTCGCCACAATAACACCGCGTCCTAAAATCTGATGAATGACTGTAGGTGGAACTAATATGCACAATGCATAGTCGGTGCGCTTCATTCCATTAAATTCACCGATCTAATCTAGTACTCAAGGTACGGGATGGGAACCCGACTTTGACTTTTTGGATCCCTCTTTTCTATGCTTCGTCATCTCACTTCTGGTTGCATGGCAACGATTCATTGATTTACTTATGTTACCATACGATACTTTGGATCGTATCTGTGATTTGTAGTCTAACAAGTGCATATAGACGTATTTAAAGGAACATCTCTTCACTTGAACTTCATTAAAATATTACTTGCGTACTCTCCGGGAAAAATCTCACACCAACTTTGTGAGGTTTGGCTGAAGAGGGCTACATTTTTGTCGAGTCTTAAGAGGATGTCTTTTGCGTGCATTGGGCAATTGGACTTGGCAATTTGAAATATAGTATTCCTTTCAAAAATGAATTACTTTTGCATCCCAAAACCCATTATTTTTACCCTCTATCCTTATCTCTGCACGAATAAACAGGCTTTTAGGACTGGAATAAATTTACACAGGGACTTGACGTACAAGACTCAGTTTACCTATCTTAATGCAGTAATCAGGAGAATCCAACTAGGGTTGGGCGCATGTTTCGTTTTACTGATAGTAGTAGTAACTGGTGAGAGGGTCTGGTTTATAAAGCTGGAAGGCAAATGGCTGAAATTTCGGGGATAACATGAATAGCTGTTTTAGGTTGGTCATCTCATTAACCTCAACCTCGTTGCGAGTACAGTGGCTGCTCACACTTTTGCCGCGTTATCGGTGAATACTGAGATAACGAATGTTTGTGACCGTCTTAAGTTTCTGTGCTGCTTATAGGAAATAGGAGCTTGCCAAGGATGTTTACCTTGCGACATTGTATCTCTAAGCCCTCCTTGTTCCCATGTTCCTTCATTTCTCATCTACAACTGACGTATATCGGTGTTGATAGTTTATCGTTATCGTCATTTTTTACTGGTCAATTTCTTGCCTTATTTGTAAGGCACCGTAGCTTGTCTTATCTTGGTTGGACAGCTGCGGCATTGCTGAAGCTAGGTCAACCTCACATCAAAGATGGCTGGAATAAGGTTCAACCTGTTTGCACTCAGTGCGTTCAGGTGGTCTTTTCTGTCACATAATAAAAGGGAACCTATAGGGAAACCGCTTTGGTCCTTCGATCAGGCTTCCATAAGAGGGACGATGGATGTGAAATCAGTACGAAGGCTACTGAGTTCTTCAGTCCATCGTGCGTTCCTGCATTTTCATGGAAGGAAAGATTAAAAATTGTCTCTTGGTTGATTTAATTAAAGTCCATGTTTGACTTGCTTGACTTCGTTGGGCCTGACGAGACCATATCAAAATCATGCGGTCACAGCAGACATGTTCACAAAGTCTATCTCATTGTGACGCGATGGTGTTAAACATGGTATGAATGCAACTGCACAAGAGCTGACAACCGGGTTTTCTGCAAACTACCTAGCGAAGGTTCAACGTAATTTGCGTTCTCTGTTCTGTTGTCGGTGGGTGTTGCTACCAATTTGGTGTATGAACCATTTTTGCAGGTACTGACAATCATGATAGCCTCATGTCTTGTGAGTAGTACCTAGACTTTGAAAGACAGGTGGAGCGAACTCATACAAACGCCAAGTTCGATGGAGTGACTGGATGAGATTTTTTTGACACGGTTCCGAAATCGGTATCCTTCCTCACAGCACTTGGCTCTGTAAATTCTAGGTGTATATGGCAAAAGCCATGCAGCGCTGAAGACCGTCATACACAGATTACCGTTACTCCATAACTATGTCCTAAATCAGGATATTCTTGGAACTGGCACATCTGTAAGAAGGTCGTAAAGTAAGTAGGTACATTCTACCTTCCTAGAGTTTTTTCGTGGCATTTCTGTTGTCTCAATTTACCGCTTTCATTCTGTACTTTTCAGGCACTGTCCTAGCATTCTTCCTGCCGAAATTTTACAAAACATACCAGGTGAGTTCTATGGACCATGTTGAGCTTTTTGTCGGCACATTCCACGACCTAATGTCAGATGTCCATTCATCTTGTATCACAGCTACCTATTCCCAGATTTACTCTTCGGCTTCCCCTAGTTTTCTGACCACTGTCTTGCTTCGGTCGCCAGCATACTGATAGGATATTCATTTATAATTATATGTGTACATGTGTAGTAGACCGCACCCACTGTCCTCCGGGTGAGAAGGTTAATGTGGTTCTTTCGATATCTCCGGACTTGTTTGTCAGGTTGATTGTTTTTTATCATTACTGACTCACACTGTGTATGTCTTATACTGTATTTCATTGAATGTCTTTCTGTATTGTGGTTTATCATAGATGTGCTGTATTATGTGTACAGATATACAAATGACCCTGCTTACTACTTTGGATTGCAGACCAATCCGTTCGTTTCCAATGCTTTCATCATTCATTCTGTATGCACCTCGCAGTATTTCACTGAGTTTTTATTATATTGCAATGAGCTTTATCATACTTTATATGACAATGTTTCGAGCATGCATACACCACTGACCTGTAGCTATCTGTGACTATACCAAACTTTATGGTGGCTGGTACCAGCTAGCCGTATTTGTGTGGCTCTTTGTATCTCAGGAATGGTGCGGGAGTCAGACCAAGTTGCGCATACTTTCTGTGTATAATCGGTTCAGCTGTCCTTACTTGACAGTTTTGGGTCCCGTTTGGGCACGCTGTTACCTACTTTTCATCCTTCGGTTTCGTCCTCTTCATCTAACACCGAATGCAAGGTGTCCAGGTGGATTCACATACGGCTCAGCACAAACCGTATTCGGCACAACCCGTTGTATGCGGGGTCAGCGCAGTTCTATGTGATGGGCCGATCCGGAGAGGGATCTCAGCCCACCATGTATATGCGCTTCCCGTACTCTTTCGGATTGGCCAAACGGTCTGCTTGCTAAGATTTGTCTTGCACCACGACTTTCTGAGAGTGTTAGAAGTTTAGCTAATTCCGGGTTTTCGCATTTGATTTACACCGTTTATGTCATGATAGAGCTTTATTAACAGTCGCTAGGTATTTTCCACACTGGGACATTATTGTGCATCACAGATACTGCTGCCAATGTTGGTGATTGTGGAGTGCAACAGTGGTGAATTGTGTTCTGCACACATGTTGTGAATGCAACCTTATTGTCGCGTTATCGCTGTGGTGAAGAGTTGCCAAAGAAACAGCCATATACAACCCAGAATAATACATATGGATTGGATTACACCAGTTGTCCACATAGAAAACGGTATATTCATCACTAACTGTAGATGTTTTACAGTGAATACGACTGAAGCTTCAACGCGCGATCTGTGAGATATCCGTCTATTCATCCTCTGAGGTCGTTCTGAATGTATTGACTCGAGTACGCCTTCGTGAGCAGCAGAAGATACATGTCAGGAGCTTAGTTCACCAACAGAGCCACACTTAGTTTGGCACTTTGTTGTTATTTTCATCGGCTTAACATTGTGCAGATGTGCAACGTTTCTTGCCTTTGGTGTTATAGCACATTGAGTATCAAAACGCAAAGATTTCTCAAGGTCACAACCGTGCTGGCCAGTCCTCGATAATGACCTCCGTCAATCGCGGTTTAGTGCCGCGATGGAAATCACCGTTACCGCATTGAGGTTTCTTATGGCACAAACTTAGCATCCGGGCTACAGTAGTCTACACACTACTCAGTCCTTTATTGAGGTATTTTACAACGTTTGTATCAAACCTCACGTTGCTCAGTCGTGCTACTGGGGTCCGTTGTTCCTCGTGGTCCTTCATTGTAACGGGGCAGTACTGGTTATGCGGATATAGTCCGCTTACCGTGCGTAAGGTATTGGCTCCTTCTAACCTTGGACTTACCGCTAGACCGCCCAACTTCCTTTCGAACGTTTCTATGTATGTCAGCCGTTCCACTTCACGTTGCCGACTGATAAGTATGTCGAAATTTTCTGGCCATTTCCGCCTTCTGGTCAAGTTGATCAATGGGACAAAGCGCTGCACTTGTTGAGATCTTATTCTGCTGAACTGCCTGCTCATCAAGCCTTAATTGTATAGTACACAGACGGTTCGTAAGTTGGAACTTCCTATAACATTCTGTTAGCAGCATATTACGATGGCCGTGAGCATTTTGTAAGGTCGTCAATGTTTTCTTCGTTTGAGGCATAGGCCACTAGTGCTGACGACCGACGTTTAACATTAGGTGTTCGTGCCACTCCACTTGGCATCGGAAAGCAGGCGCGACAAAATGTAAACATATGTATATTGGATTACGTCCATACAAGTGTACAGCTTCTTGCGTGAAGTTAAATCTGTCGCAGTAAATCAAGTTAGACTGTGAGGATGCTTATTAACATAATTACGTAATCTGCCTTCTTTGCTGACTGTGGGGATTTCGCGGTGAGTAAACCCTAGCCCTGATGAATATGGTGGTCAGGTAATATCGTATTTTACGCGTTGCCTAGTCTGAGGCCACAGAAGCAACCCAAACGATTTTGTCCCTTCATCGAATTCGTATAACCTGCGATGATTGAGGAACACGCCCTTCCTGTCTGTTTTCAGTTCGATGGATTTTATCACGAAGTGGATACTGTTCAGCCGTATACACGTTACCTTTTCTGTGCCGCACTGAAGGCATTAAAAGGACTTGATATCATCGTCGTTGTGCTGTTTAGATCTTTTTCTTATGATCTATTCGTAGTAGACCAGTACTGGGTCTCTTCCATCCCCAAATTTCTTTTCGTTACGGGGCGTACTTTAAATAAAGCAATAGTTGTACAGTTTTGAAACGTCGATGCTGTGGTTTTGTTGTCATTGTTGATGAGAAACATCGACAGGTAAATATAAATGAGTTAACCAGCAAAGTGGTGTGGTAAAGTATATTACCCATGTCCTTTTCATGGCTCTGGTGCACCTGGTTTGACACACTACAAGCCGTTGCCACTAGTGTCATACGCTATTCGTTACCTTGTAGCCCGTTATTTTTTATTAAGACTTCTGATAGCCATTGAAGGACAGTCCTTCTGTTGCTGGTTGTCCGGTTGTTCGTTGTGGATCACGAATAGTGCGTACTCTGCTTTACCACCAACTCATCACCATTATTATATGGTGGTCTGAAGTCTATGCTTCCATCATTATCTTGACGGGTTGTTTATTGTGCTGTAGCCTGAGCCGAGCTGCTTGGCTGAACCCTTCGCCTCGCAGTAGTGATGATGGCTTACATAAAACTGGCAACAATCATACCCTGGTTTAACGCTGAGTATCTCCTGCCAGGTGCATATGTTAGCATACAAAATTACTTACCGATTGGTTGTATTCCACGCTTGGCCCCTGCTAATCTGACTTGTTGGTACAAGTCCGTTGTTGCAGCACTTCGGCCGATATCGATTCGCATCATGCAGATCCTGTCGTTTCCAGACCAACGTCAGGCTCCGTTTGGTTGCGAACATCCGTACATGTTCAATTTTGCACGTGCAGTATTACTTTTCGCTTTTCGGACTCTTCACCTGGACGTGATCGTTCGGTCACCCGTCGACTTTCAAGTAGACTATTCAGGTGGACTATTCAGATTCTATCCGGTCCTTGACATGTTGAACATTGCATTCTAACTATGGTCAATGGCGCTTCTGCTACACATTTTTGTTATCCGATACATACCTGCATTTCACCGTTAGCCCCATATTACTTAGTGAGTTCCTAAAAACAAAATATGTACTACTTCGGATTCCGAATTTGCTTAACACTAAAACTTTACCAGCTATTCCTCTCTGGACAGTCTGACCAGATTGAGCACAGCTTCTGAACGTGGCAAGATATTTAGTGAAACTAAACTGATTCTGAAAGTGCCTGCAGAGTTAAACTGGAATATATACATATTCCTGTTAGGCGTCTTAAACTGCTGAATGAAAACCGGTCACATAAACGGGGAACGACATTTTTGTGCATCATGGGAAAAAAAGCTAAGAGCATACTTGGTGATGCCACCACTCCCGTACATATATTAGTAAAATCATTCTTTCTACTCTCAATAGTGAAGAATGGTTGGATCGTTCTGATTTGATCAACCACATCACGATAGAATTCTGAACAAATCGGACGTGAATTACATAGTTTCAAGGAGTCCCAGACTCTGTCAGACTAACATTGTTAAAATTGCTTTGAAACATGCAGACGCAGCCTAGATAACAAAGGCGACCTAATGAACCATGAGAAACCTCCGGTAAAGTTTATATGGTGATCGAATACTGCTGAAGTACGGATGGTTTTGGAGTCGTCAAGCAAATTACTGTGGGCGTTCAGGACTATATATATATATATATATATAT